TGACTTGGAGGCAGCAGTTCTCGGGTGACTCACCCCAAAACCAGAGGAGGGAGCCCGATTCCAATTTTGGCCATGGGTTATGTTGTTGAGGGCACTATCTGCCCCAAGTCTGGTTTACTGCACACTTGCATTTGCGTTCCACACCCTGTACGTCAGCAACTTTGCAGAGTGCCCTCTCGCACTACGGAACCCCTCAGGGGATGTCAGAGAGCTGGTTTCGGCCCAATCCCACAGGCCGGGCCAAGGGGCCCCATCTGCCAGAAGGACCCCCATTAACTATGCAGACACCAAGGACAGACCATAGGAGGTTGGCTCCAGGGTGTGTCTGGACCATCTTGCTCAGTACCATCCCACCAGCCACCTTCTAACTAATTTCCTTTCAATGTGCACGAATCCATGCCCCAGGTCACTAGTGTTAAATAAGAACCAAAAGAGGATGAACATAAGTCATGAGAACTTTGCCTTGTACATTTAGGAAAAAGTGTGCAAGAATAACAAACACACTCAAAAATAATATAGAGCTAAATGACTCATGTGATTACTATTAGAAGCCATCCTATATAATAAAAGGCTAATAGGCTAATATGCAAATCAACCAGATAGTACAACTGGTCACTCTGACCACCAGGGGAGAGATGCTCAATGCAGGAGATGTCCCCTGGTGGTCAGTGTGCTCCCACAAGGGGAGTGCCACTAAGCCAGAAGCCGGGCTCACGGCTAGCTAGTGCAGCAGCAGTGATGGGAGCCTCTCCTGCCTCAAGACAGCACTAAGGATGTCCGACTGATGGGGAGCAGACTAAGCTATCAGTCAGACATCCCCTGAGGGCTCCCAGACTGCGAGAGGGTGCAGTCTGAGCTGAGGGACTCCTCCCCAAGTGCACGAATTTCTTGCACCAGGCCTCTAGTAATTTATAAACACTGAACCTGAGTTACAGGGCTCTGTCCACTATGTACTGATTACTGCTGATGAGTTTCATATTGCTGTCTTTTAATCCTGTCTTTGAAATCTCTCAAACACACAGAAATAGGGAACCGGAGGAATAAGGCCAGGAAGCTTAAAAACTTTCAAAACTTTTCCTTTAACTAGTAAACCTGATGCCTTAACAGAATAATGTCTTTGTTGGTGATAACTAAATCTAGATATGTCATACAGATCGCCTTTAGTCTAGTCCAGAAAATTTCTGTAAATCAAATCATAAATGGAACACCTTTACTTCAATAAGGTGTCAGCACATATTCCCAAGCTCATATTACATTAAAAACCAAGGAAACATCACAATTTCACCCGGTTTTAGCATCTGAAATCTTTCACAGGTGTCCTAGGAGAGGAAAAAGGTCACGATCTACAGGTCACGTCAATAATTATTAGGTGTTACTGTAACAGAAGGTATCTGAGTAGCTACTGTGGGTACATATGGTGCAGGATTATGTGCACATTACTTACAAGGCTACTTTTCATTTCACAAAATGAATTCTGAGCAGCATGAAAACTAGAATTGAGAGATCTTATCTCAGGTTAAGTTGAAGTTTTCGGTAGAATTGTATATAAACAAAACTGAAATAGGTAACAAATTAAAGGGGGGAAATATACCCTCAAGTCACTGCAGCCAATCCCACACAAAGCCCACTGCCTTCTCTAAGAAATGGTTTTTGCCACTGATTTGCCCAGGAACCACATAACTGTTCTAAACTCAAAAATGTGAAGAATTTTCCCTGCCCAGACGTGGTTTTTGAAAGGATAAATGCATTTTAACATACATAATTTAGCTTGCAACAAACCACAAAAACAAAAGAGAAGCCTGGAAAAGAGTACATACATATGCTCTAAGAATCTGATCTAGTGCCACTAAAACATTCTGAGCTGAACACTTGTGAGACCTTCAAGATGCTCTTAGAATCTGCTAAAAAGTTAAAGGTTCTTCTTTCTTTGTTTCCACTCAACAACTGACCTTATTCTATCATTAACTCAGTCTATCTCACTTTTAATTGCAGGGGCGCTCAGCAAATGAAAACTATGTAAAGCTAAGCGAGCACAGCAGAGGCTCCGCATGCTGCACAGCACTGCCAGCTGCATAATAAGCAAGGTCACAAGCCAATGTCAACAGAACTCCTCGGGATCAATGTGATCAATCAAATGAGTTTCCAGATTTCTCTTATAATGAGCAGGACTAAGTTCCACAAGGGGAATCAAGTTCCGTTCTACTCATCCCTACCTCCAAACAAAACCATACAAAAGGACAGAAAGAAAGGAGGTATTAATTGCCAGTTGATTGACATTAGCAGAAATCTCTGGTGAACAGACTTAGCTCAATTATAACTGCAAAGCCACCAGGGATTTTTAATTATTAAAAGGTAAACCATATGCCAGAGTAACAGAAGACAACTCAATAATCAAAACTGGTAGGACACAGTAGTTCTTAATCTCTCTCTACTCTACTTTTTGATACTTAGATCTTTCTTAGTAGGAAAAAACTACATACTCTGTGTGTGTGTGTGTGTGTGTGTGTGTGTGTGTGTGTGTATGGTTCATATGCATATGAAATTTTAGATGAACTAATATTGATTTCTTTTGACAAGTCACATCTTTAAGTCTTAATTTCTTTAACTGTAAAAAGGATAATCACATTTATATAATCATATTTGTCATTAGATAAATTTAAACTTAGAAATCCCTATGAGAAATGAGAAACTATTATTTATAATGACACTAATTGTTTTTGGCTTTATAGCTCTTACAGAAAGTATACTGAGAAAAATGATGTGGCCAGTGCTAGTGATAGAGACACTGAAAGTAAATACCTCTTTTCTCAAAGAAAGCCAGTTAGATATACCGAAATATGTACTATTCCAGGGTACACCTATATAAAGAAGTTATGCCAAAGGTTCTCATATACATAAATCTTGGACATCTCATAGACATGAAAACTTTAACACATTACAATTTTATGAGAGTCAAAGTGAATTCCAAAGGAAACAAAACTTGACTCTGTCCTCATATGTAATTAAAAACCTTAATAACAACTTGGCCTAAAAAACTGAACAGAAAGGTCTACAAACACCTCGGGTCCTACATGTGTGACCCAGCTGGCTCATTTAACTTGCTTTGCTTTGGTTCTTTCACTTGTCAACCCAGGAAATTTGACTTGATGAACCCCAAGATTTAGTTCTAATACTCTAGAATTCTATAAGCATAACACAACTTCACTGCTATTTCTAATGAGAGATTTGGTAGAAAACAATATTCAATTTCTCAATTGTAATTATTAGGAACAGACAGACTACCCCACAATTTTAACACAAAAGAGCCCATATATTTCCAAAGAAGTCTAAAAAAAAAAAAAAATTAAAACAAATCAACAACAAGAATCTCAGAGGACTAAAACAAATAAATCTAAGGGAAAAACAAAACCAAGTATCAGCTAAATAACACTTTTTAAAAATGAATGCTTTGTTAAAAATTTAAGAAGCCAGATCCACCTAACAAAATAGTAACATGCTAATTGACCGTATCTTCACAATGCCCACCAGCCAATCAGGAGTATGCTAAATAACCCAACAAAGATGGCAGGTTAATTTGCATATCAGGTGCTGAGCAGCTGGAGGTGGGACACTTGCAACACCACGGCAGTGATGCAGGTGGGACACACCAGCTCAGCCACTCCATGCCTGTGGGCAGTGTGGGAGGCAGCAAGGCGGTTCAGGGCCGGAGTGAAAAGGCTGCTCCCGGCCAGAATGAAAGCAGGGCTGGCAGCCAGGGAAAAGAAGGCCCAGTCTTACATGAATCTTCATTCATGCCATTGGGCCACTAGTATAGTTATAAAAAATTATCGGGTAAAACAGTAGAAACAAGTAGTAAAATATGTTTCCAGTTGTTCCTGGATCTCTTGCCTAACAAAATAAACTCGGATTCAGCTATACATGAGAAGCAAAAACAATAAAAACAACAACAAAATCAGAAGTCCTCTGACAATAGGAAACTAGCACTCTAGGAAGAATACACACCGCATTCAGTTAGCCTAACCTTAAATCTCCAGCAGATTTTACTATGGTTGGGTTTTTTTTGTTTGTTTGTTTTTTAAATATATTTTATTGATTTTGTACAGAGAGGAAGGGAGGAGATAGAGAGCTAGAAACATTGATGAGAGAGTCATCGACCAGCTGCCTCTTGCACACCCCCTACTGGGGATGTGCCCACAACCAAGGTACATGCCCTTGACCGGAATCGAACCCGGGTCCCTTAAGTTCCCAAGCCGACGCTCTATCCATTGAGCCAAACCGGTCTCGGCTGTGGTTGGGTTTTTATGCAGGATTCCCACGCTTCCTCAGTCAACTTTATGACTTGATTAACATAATGAAGTCTTTCAGAATAACTTTTAGGGGTTTTTTTGTTTTTGTTTTTTTTAATATATTTTATTCATTTTTTACAGAGAGGAAGGGAGAGAGATAGAGAGCTAGAAACGTCGATGAGAGAGAAACATCGAACAGTTGCCTCTTGCACACCCCCTACCGGGGATGTGCCCGCAACCAAGGTACATGCCCTTGACCGGAATCTAACCAGGGACCTTTCAGTCCACAGACTGACGCTATACCACTGAGCCAAACCGGTTTCGGCAAACTTTTAGGGTTTTGTTTTTTTTTTTTAATTATTATTTTGCCATAAAGACCTTAGATAGGTATCTTTGAGTACAAATCAGCAGTTTACATTCTCTCAGCTTCCAGTTTGGTCTTCTGGGTTCACTGTGGTGCTGGTGGCTTAACAGTGCCAGTAACTAGAAATTACCAACACTCAGCTGGTACACTGCACAGCACAAGAGCTCTGAAAAGCATTTTCTTTAAATGTAGGTAAGAAAAGGATATTTTCTAGAAAATACTAACAAATAATTGAAATGAGGCTCTATCTCCCCACTTCCCCCAAATAAAAAACAAAAAACTTTATCAAAAATAGGGCAAGTCTACTTCATTACATTATCACAAACTACATTCAAGCTGATCTGTCCTACCTTCTGATGCTTTGATCATATATCCTCTCTTCTTTTCACCAGGAGGCACATCAAGCAGCTGCATAATTCTGTCCAGTAGCCCGTGGATTATCTCAAACCCAGGATTCTTGTTGTAATAAACAGCACAAAGGTGCCTGTAGTTTCTTGCACCTACATCTGAAAAAAAATAAAAGCATTAGTAACAAGGTCACATTGACCATTAAATAAGAATCTGATTTACACCAACACAAACTTGGCAAGCAAACAAAAAAGAAAACCTATTAGTAAACACATAGAGAATCATTCTATGTCAGATGTAAAATAATATGGTTTTTCAACCATCAAATTCCCTGAGGTGTTTTGATTTGGGGAAGTATAAGAAACCTTGAATGCTAGCCCAGGAGTAATAAGGCTTCACAGTGGTATGAACTGGTAAAATTCTTTGTAAACAATTTAGTAACAAACCTAAGAGCCTTAAAACGTTCATCATCTCTTATTCATAATACTACTATACTAAGTAAATAATCTTAAATACAAAAAAAGGCTTCATGTCAAAAGATATTTTTGCACAATGCATTATTTCCAATAGTGAAATAGAAACCACTAAATTGGGGAATGGCTACATAAAATAGCACTATCATTTATCCGAATACTATAGCTAAAAAGCATCCTCTTTAAGATTTATAACACAGCTAGAGCAAATACTTGAAACAGTAAATGAAAGAAAAGGGAAAAATATAAAATAGGTTCAAGAACTATGAAGCATAAAAGGGAACCTGTCACAAAAGTTAGGACAGTGATTTCTGTAGGTAAAGGGAACGTGATATGATGAGGAAGGTCTTAAAGAAGCTTAAGATAGTGGCAATATTCCATTTCTTACATTGGATGGCTATACTAGTGTTTGCTTGATAATAATCTTTTTGAACTACATGTTATATATACTTTTTATAATTAAAACGGGGAAAAAGCAATAAATGAAGATAAGAATTACAACTATGTAAATATAACATAAGCCAAAAAACTCCATGCACAGGAAAAAGATAAAACAAATGCTCTTGCATGTTAACAGAGGTTATTTTTGGGCAGAGATAATTTTTTCAAATATCTACTTTTCCATATTTTCCTTGATTAGTATATGTTATTCTACTTTGAAATACTGAACTTAAAGGTGGTTATATTTTTAAGAAGGTAATATCATTTATTTTCAACAGCCCAAATGAACCCTGATGGGTAATTGGATAAATAATTTAGTTCATCCATTCAATGGAATACTACTTACTCACCAAGAAAAAGGAACAAACGTACTGATAGACTTGACAATTTAGATTCATTTCAAGGGTGCTATGCTGAATGAAAGAGGACAATCTCAAAAGGCTTCATATAACATGCGTCTATTTGATTTTTGTTGTTTTTTGTGTGAATCCTCACCCAAGGATATTTTATCCATTGATTTTTAAAGAGTGGAAGGGGGAAGGGAAGGGAGGGAAGGAAGGAGGTAAGAGAGAGAGGTGGGGGGAGGGAGGGAGAGAGAGAGAGAAACATAGGTGTGATAGAGATTGATTGGTTCCTGCACTCGATAAAGGCCAGAATCAAGCCTGCAACTGAGGTCCTTGCCCTTGACTAGAATCTTTTAGCCTGCGGGTTGACGATTTAATCACTGAGCAAAACTGGCTAGGGCAACCTGAATCTATTTGTAAGACATTCTGAAAAGGTAAAATTATAGCAACCAATATGAAGTAGTGTCTGCCTAAAGTTAGATATGGAGAAAAAAATGTGGTTATAATAGAAAACATGGAGGGCCTTCAGAATGATAGAACTATTTTTATATCTTATAGTGATGGTTACAAAAATATAAACTCATATTAAAACTTTATTTTTTTGCTGTGACCGGTTTGGCTCAGTGGATAGAGCCCTGCGGACTGTAAGGTCCCAGGTTCGATTCAGGTCAAGGTCATGTACCTTGGTTGCGGGCACATCCCCAGTGCGAGGTGTGCAGGAAGCAGCTAATCGATGTTTCTAACTCTCTATCCTTCTCCCTTCCTCTCTGTAAAAAATAAATAAAATATATTGAATGAAAAAAAAAAACACTTCATTTTTTTTAAAGAAGAGTGTATCATATAAAGATAGACTCAAATTCAATGGTGATCATTTACTTTATAATGGGTATATACACTTTTGGTCCTTTAATAAATTCTAGAGGAAATCACAATTCTAACACACTGTTAGCTTCATTTCACTTTTCAAATTAGGAAAAGAGAAAACAAACTAATGTCTATCAGGGAATACACTGAAAATAAAAAAGCTGCTTTATATTAACACTAGAGGCCTGGTGCACGGATTCGTGCACCGGTGGGGTCCCTTGGCCTGGCCTGCGGGGATAAGGCCAAAACCGACTCTCCAACATCCCTTGAGGGGTCACGGATTGCTAAGGGCAGTTCTCAGGTGATCTACCCTGGAATCAGGCTCTCTCCTCTCTGGTTCCGGTGCATCACCCGAGAACTGCAGCTGCCAAGTCACCGCAGCTCAGCAGCTCCTATGTTGAGCATCTGCCCCTGGTGGTCAGTGCACATCACAGGAGGTTGGTCACTTAGGCTTTTATACATATAGATGTATTGAGCAAAAGTTCTTCCACAGACTTATTCTGAGAAGTAAAAATTCTGAGACATCCTAAATCTATACTAATAGAAGGGCAATATGCTAATTAAACTGGACATCTTCTGGACAAAGCAATGGTGGCATAGCTATGGCAGAGGCAATTAGGGGCAATCAGGTCGGCAGGGGAGAGCAGTTAGGGAGACCAGGCCAGCAGGGAAGGGCAATTAGGGGCGACCAGTCCAGCAAAGAGATTAAGGGTGATCAGGCAGAGGTGGTTAGGGGCAATCAGGCAGCCAGGGGAATAGTTACAAGCATAAGGCAGAGTGGTTAGGGGTGATAAGGCAGAGGGTTAGGAGCCAGTGGTCCCAGACTGAGAGAGGGATGTCCGAATGCCAGTTTAGGCACAATCCTAAACCAGCAGTCGAACATCCCCCGAGAAGTACTGGGTTGGAGAGGGTGCAGGCCGGGCCAAGGACACAGCCCCCAGCCCCGCTGTGCATGAATTTCATGCACCAGGCCTCTGGTTAAATTATAATAGGCTGAAGGGTGCAAGGAAGAGACAAGAAGGGGTTGATCAGTTAAAACAGGAGGGCCAGAAACAACAAATGACTCTTACATTCCTAAATGTATGCTGAAATTACATTAACTTTCAGGTGGCAATTTCCTCAATTATCTAGAGAGAATAGCCAGTCACCAAAAGACACCAGCAGAAGGCACTGAATCCTGGTTACACATGAACTTTCCAGATTGCTGCCCACAACCAATCCAAAACATCTGTACTTCCTGTGGACTGTGCACCTATTCCAGAACTGGCCCCCATTTCTTCTTTTCTAGCCCCCCCTATCTATAGTCAATGCAAATTCTTTCAAAACAACTTATATCTTTCTTCTCCAAGCTCATTGTATAAAAGAGCCCTGTAACCCCAGGACCATTGACATGGTGTCTTCTCCATGAAGCCCTGCTACTGGGGGCTCAGAATGCATGTCCAGGAGCTGGTCCTTTCTCTGGCTAGCAGGTGGCTCAACAAAATCTTTCTTCAGAAACACTTCAGACTCACTCAAAGGTTTTTGATTAGTAATTCCCTTTGCATAATTGACACAAAATACTGAATGCCTTTTACCATTCAGATATCCAAATAAAATGGGTATTTTAAGACACTATTCTCACTTACAAAGCAATTTATATAAAAGTGAGCACATAAATGGGGTAAAAAGAAACGGGAAACTAATGTTAACTGTCTACCTGTCTATCAATGTATCTATAATCTTATTTAACTTTTAAGACAATCATGTAAGTTATGTTTTATTAGCCCTATAAAATAGAATGGAGAAAGACAAGTCCAAAAAGATTTTGCACAAAGCCAAGCCAACTGGTTGGAGCTAATTATATTTAACTAGAGGCCCAGTGCATGAAATTCTTGCACTGGTAGGGTCCCTATGCCTTGCAGACAATTAGGACAGATCTGTGGGGCAACTGGCAGGACGATCAGAGGGGGGGGAGGGGTGTCCCCACTGGCACCCATGGCCAGCCTGGCACCGCCCACTCACCAGTCCTGCCCCCCCACAACTGTTGCCGCAGGTTGCCTCCCTCTGCAAGGCAACCAGTGGGGTGATCAAGAAGCCCATGCTGGCACCCACTTGGCTGGCCTGGGACCTGCGGGCTGGGCGCATTTCTGCATTGAGGGACTGCCCCTTGGTGTTCAGTGTGCGACATAGCAACTGGTCCTTCCACTGGTCGATCTGCCATTTGGTCAATTTGCATATTGGGATTTTATTATATAGGATTACAAAACTAATAAATTACAAAACCAAGATTTGACCAGAATCATCTGATTCTAAAACCCATGCCTTTCCACAATACAATGGCAATTTCTAACAGACTTGAATGACAATGAATAAGGGCAAACTTATATATGGTTATATACCTACCTAATATAGTCAAAGATATCCATTCTTGAAATGCTTTTTATTTTTTTTAAATATATTTTATTGATTGTTTACAGAGAGGGAGAGAGAGGGATAAAGAGTTAGAAACATCGATCAGCTGCCTCTTGCACACCCACTTCTGGGGATGTGTCCGCAACCAAGATACATGACCTTGACCGGAATTGAACATGGGACTTTTCAGTCCGCAGGCCAACACTCTATCCACTGAGCCAAACCGGTTTCAGCTTGAAATGCTTTTTATATGACAAACAGATAACCGAAACTTTATTCTAAAGTTTTCTAAGAATTCTAGGTAAGCAACTGGAGTAAATTTTTAGAAGTTAGTAAACTAAAGTTTCTAGCTATCAACAATATTGTCACTCATAGGAAGTGTATTCTAAGTTAAACACAGACTGACCACACGTGGAGAAATAACTGTTCTTGCCATGTAACATTTCTCAGTACCTACCATGTTCAAGGCACTCTTCTGTAGCTATCCCTGGAAGATAATGGTCAGAGCCAGCACAGGGCTTGCACAAACTAAACCCTAACAATCATTTTTTGAATAAATGAATAAAACCTGGAAAGGGGGGGAAGCACATACAAGTAACTATTCAACAAGGCTAAGACCAGACAATGGACCACATTCTATGTTGG